GATGCTGGTGCTTCAGGCCAGGGCATTAACCTGCTACGCCATAGTGCTGGCCCCACTTAGTTTTCCTTTTAAGAACATTTTCCCTTGTGACTACAAGAGCACAATATTTTTTAAGGGCCATCCAAATTTGTAACGAATACCTTAAACATATTCCAAAGTCTTGCATTGTATCTATAAGAGAATTTTGCTCCTGACTGACAAGTAGGCCATGATTTATTACAGGATCTGCTTTTAACATTATTTTGTCTGGAATGAACAGAGTGGTTGGAGAAACTCCATCCATCTTTTTGTTTATTTGACATTTATAACACATTAAATATACCTTAAAAAAACAACACAGAAATAAAAAATTCTGTTTAACAGTGATGATTACTCATCAGTAAGACAAATCTCTTGACTCTAATACAAAAACGCATTCTGTCAAGTAATGTCTGTTGAAATTTAAATAAAGCATGTGTGTAACCTGAACAAATTTTTTAAAGCAAATATTTTAGTTTCATGTTATTCCCAAGAGTTAGCATCACAAAGTGGGCTTCAGTTTTTCCTTATTTTTATGAAAATTAACACTATTGCCCTCTTTCTTTCTTGGTTTAGCTCAGTAACTGATTATGAGTGATTAATAGAAATAGAATATGATTTTTTAATTGTTAATGTTTATTGGAAAATGAAAGAAGAGCAAATAGACTTTGATAAATACATTTTGTGGTGCTTTCATACTTTTGGAAGACTTTTTTTTATGATTTGGGAAAGGGAGGAAGAAAACAAAATCGTTTAAACCTGAGGAATTCCTTATCAGCATTGTAAAATTTTTCCTAAGAACTTAAGACTGTAAATAAAGAAGCTCTGCCCTCGGGCTTAGAGTCACAAAATATTTGTAAATGAGACACTATTCATTATCAACAAAATGCTTATCTGAACCATTTATCATTTATTAGGCTTAATTTTAAAGTTACATATTTGGAAGTTTGATTTTTTATTTTTTCAAACTCACAGTTATTAAATACACATTTGAAATGAGGGGAGAATTAGTTTGCTGTTTACTATTCACTAAGTATGTTTTGTAATATTAGACTGATAAAAAACATACTGGTTGCTAAACAGTTGTTTTCAGTAACCATAAGAGCATCCTCATCCCTGATTTGTTTTTTTGGTTTACATTGTCACTACATAACTTGAAACCATGTTTGTCCTGAGTACTTAACAATTTGTTAAACTAATAGATGCTATGAACTATGTTGTGTTCCAGAGTTGTAATGCTGAATTCATATTGCCATAAATAACTAATCAGGAATGATCCAATTGGTTGCTTTTTTATTGCAAAGATTATACCAATCCTAGCAGTTACTGGCTGTTTAGCTAGTTACAAAATATTACTGAGTAACTTTTTCCAGACCTTTCATGTTCTAGAAATGGATGGTGCTTTATCATCATTCCATACCTGTCATTTGTCTAGTTTCTTGTGAAAAGAACCTGGTAAAGAAGAGTGCAGACTGGTGCCAAGTGAGTTGCTGCCTATGTACAATAGGAACAGTAGTCCTGGTATAGTCATTCATATAAAGATTTTGTCATAAAACCAAACACAGGTTTTATGATAGCTCTTGATCATACAAGAAAAAACTATTTTTTTTCAGTTTTCTGCTGGCCTTATCTAATACACTTTTATAGATCTGACTAACATTCTCAGGTTTATTTGTAAAAAACAATCTTCAGGAAAGATTCCAATTGATCCAAACAAAAATAATATTTGAACTGAGATTATAACTAAGTTTCTTCATTTTTATCCTACTTTTCAAAATTATATATTACTGTGTCCACCGATACTTAGACATATGTTGAATTATACTTAATATGTTCAGAGTAGAAACTGAATTTGTAATTCCATTGATATGTTTGGTTCTATTTTCTGATTTTACCTGTGTGAAAACTAAGGTCCAGTAACTTACCAATGGCTATCACAACCAGGTAATGGTGTGTTTTACACATTACCAGATCATCCATACATGTTAGTAAAATTTTGTCTAGCAGCAATGGAATCTGAAGTATATGTTTCTAAAATGCTTGGCTGGATGTTGTGGAATATGTTCCTCTTAAAGAAGGTTTTAAAAAGACTTAAGTTCATATATTGTCTTATTTCTAAAGTGCCAAATGCCATTCTTTGAATTGCATATTGAGTAGATCTTTGTAGCATTTGAACCTATGGCATATGTAATCATGTGAGAAACATGCTGTGTAGGTGGGTAGCTCAGTGTTCACAGGACTATGAAAGTTTTTAATCAGTAAGTAGCATGTATGTTAATGTACAAGTATGTGATAATACACTCTCTCATTCTCCCACTATCAGATATTAGGTGTTATTTAATGTTTTTTGATAGTGGTGTAGTATTTAATGCTATAGAATTTTTAAGATACTGTATATGGCAGTGTATACATAAGCATAATATATAACTTCAAAAAGTTCACGGAAAAATAGAAGTTAAAAATGTTTATTTCGGTGTAAAAAATTTTTGAAATTCCATGAACTTTTTGAAGTTCTCTCATATGTATATTTGAACTTACTTTAAAGTGGGAGATTGTTGGAAAGGAAGCAAGTAAATAGAGCTGTGCACAGTTAACTATGCCAAGAATTTCTAGCTCTGAATTAAATTCTTGGTATGAGAAAAATGATTTTTTTTTTCATTTGTGAATCTGCTGTGAATGGTTACTCAATGATGGGGAAGTCTACCAGACTATTAGCCCTGTGTTCAAGTTATTCCCCTGTAGATCACTCTCTGTTCTCAATCACTACAGATAACTGTTTCAGCTTGACTACCTCTCTCCCTTCTCATATCATTCCTTGGCCATTTCAAATTGGATCGATCCACCTTGGTCTTCTCTTTAAGCTGCTATCCTCTTTCCTTGCGTTCTACTTACCTATTTGCGTTAATCTGATCAATTAAATAGCTTTGGGAAGAAAGCACTCACAACTTGGTGTTGCTGGGTTAGTTTATTCTTGATGGTCTGTCATTGTATTCTCCACACCAGTTGTATCATCCTTGAGGGGTAGAAAGTTATTTCTTGGGAGCAAAAATGCCTTACCATATGGTTTTCCTGCATAAAGCATATATGTTTCCAGAACATAAACAAATGTAGCTTACCTGTGTTTTGAAGTTTTACAAAGTGCAGACAGGAGGAAAAACATGCCGGAAAGAGGCCTTGGGTGACAATAATGAAGAAAAAAATGTTGAGTAACACTGTTCTACATCTATATAAATTGATGTTTTTTTCAGGATGCTTTCACTTGGATATTACTTAAAAACATCAAATTAGGCCAGCGCCACGGCTCAGTAGGCTAATCCTCCGCCTTGTGGCGCTGGCACACCGGGTTCTTTCTGCTATGGCCAGGGAGTGCAGTGGAGGATGGCCCAAGTGCTTGGGCCCTGCACCCGCATGGGAGACCAGGAGAAGCACCTGGCTCCTGGCTTCGGATCAACGCAATGCGCCGGCCGCAGCGCGCCGGCCGCGGCTGCCATTGGAGGGTGAACCAATGGCAAAAAGGAAGACCTTTCTCTCTGTCTCTCTCTCTCTCTCTGTCCACTCTGCCTGTCAACAACAACAACAACAACAACAAAAACATCAAATTCACCTGTCCAAAACTGAAACAATTATCTTCTTTGCCTACCTTACCTTGTTTCTCCTCCTTTCTGACCTGTCTCAATCAACAACATCACTTGGGATTCTGGCCCACTAAGTCTCATTGTGCACACTCCCAGGGCGCAACCTCAGTTTAGAGTGCCCTCTTTCCTACCTACATTATTGCCACAGCTTTTGAAATTACCCTTTGCTGTAATCATTTATCCACATTGCTCATTGTTTCTTTCTTTTTTTATTTATTTTATTTGTTTGAAATGCACTGTGATGGAGGGAGGGAGGGAATAAAGAGGAGAAAGAGGGGGGTGTGGGGAGAGAGATCTTCCATCTACTGATTCACTTCCCAAATGGCTGCAACAGCCAGGACCGGGTCAGGCTGAATCTGGGATCCTGAATCTCCATCTGGGATTCCCACCTGGGTGCAGGAGTACAACTATTTGGGCCATCTTTCACTGCTTTTGCAGACACATAGCCAGGGAGCTGTATTGGAAGTGGAGCATCTGGGACTGTAGCTGGCTCTGTGAAATGGGATGCTGGTGTTGCAGTCAGCGATTTTAGCAGCTGCAGCACACGCCTGCCCCATCTGATCATATCTTATTCAGCCGATAATCTTCCAGATTTGCTTCAGAATCAAAGTCCCATTTCTGTTGTATGGCAAATAAGGCTTCTACGTTTCTACTTGCCTTCCCAACACATATGCCCTTTTGTTTTTAGTCCCTTAGCCTCCTCATATGTGCCCTATTCTTCTTTGTCTGTAGCCCTGTTAAAATACTGCTCCATCTGCCCGAGAGACTGCACTTTGGAATTTTCTCCTTCCTTTTCCTGACCGCATACAGCTTCTTGTTTCCAAAAGTTCAGTTTAGACATCTTGTCCTCTCAGATGCACTTGATAATTCTTTTTACTCTACTGTTTATCAAACCAGGGCAAATAAATCTTAGCTTAGTGTTTTTTTTTTTTTTTTTTACTAAACACCTTCTTAAAGACAGATGTGTTTCATTTATTGATTTTTCTTCAATTTGTAGAATATTTAATAGGCATTCTGCAAGTGTGTACCTAATGATAAATGGATGAATGGTTAAGTCATTTTATGTACAACTATTACGTTTACTTCCTGGTTATTCTTTTTACTAAACATTTCACTATTTTTTCCCATACAACATTGCATTTTAGATTGGATCAAACTTCTTTTTTAGTAAAAAGCAACAAATAAAAATAACATTTTAAATATTCAAGTTTTTGTTTCTGTAAACAGGAAACTACTTCTACATTTCATTTATTTCTTAACTATGAAATACAGTATTAGCATTATTTAAGCAGGTAGAGTACCATGATATTTTTGACCTTGTGTTTTTTCTCCCTCTTACTCATTTAGCTAAAGGACACCAAATCAGCAGATCAGAAAACAACACTACTTCATTTCCTGGTGGAAATATGTGAAGAAAAGTACCCTGATATCCTGAATTTTGTGGATGACTTGGAGCATTTAGACAAAGCCAGTAGAGGTTTGTGCTGTTGTAAAAAATATTTTTTGCTGTGTTTTTCAGTTCTAAAAGAAAAGGAATTTTATTTGCACAATATACTTTCTACTTTGTTGCATGTTTTCTCTTTAAAGAGTGTTTATGAGTTGTCATGATTGAAGCTTTGAGGTTCGTTCGTTTAATTAGGTAATGAGGCTTTATGTTTAAAAACACACAGTTTTGTAGCTTAACTCTGTGGGTATCTTCTAGCCTCACTCTCTGCTTCTAACCCTCCCTGAATGTGGCCAGCTGATGCAGTGTCATCAGGAACTCTGAATGAAGGCTCCATACCTGAGTACAGAAGCAGCTATTAATGTCCCCCTTGTGCCTCAATTCCAAATCTGTCTCCTTCCCCATCATAACTGGGATCTCTTTGTCCTAGTAGACAGCAGACTGCCAGAGTTTCAGTGTACTCCTTCCCCATGTAAATTTCTAATCTCTTTCTAGTCTCCACTGTGGACATAGATCAGGTTGTTAAGGGCCATTAGAAAGGAGATGAGCTATTATTAATACTGGTTATAGTATGATTTACAGCCACATTTTTTATCACATTAAGAATTCAGTTTTCATTTATTTCTCAGAATGATTCTATGGTAACAACTTTACTTGGCTCCAAACGATTTTTGAATACATTTTGGGAGACAAGTCATGGTGGAGTGTTTGTATTCTTCGAATGTGAACACCAGTCATTAGTAATGTCAAATTATTTTTGTAATCTGTTTATTTTCTGAGATTTGCCAACTTGAAGGATACTGTTTTTTTTTTTTTTTCCATATTAGATTGCGTATCCCTTCTTTAAAAAAAATCTCTTTTATCGTTCCTGATGCCTTCAAGGTTGTTCTTGCTTCTATGAAGTGGCAATTGTAACACTTTGTGTGCCAAGAGACATGTGATTGGATGAGATGTTGTTCTAATAACTGTCCTGAGGTGTTCACTTCTTCAAAATATATCTTTCATGTAATCTGTTGGGGGAAAAAAATCCTAGAAACCAGTATTGAACTTTTTACTTCATTTTCCACTAAATCCTAAAAATCTATTGACGCTGTGGTACTTACTTGCCTCTGTGCTACCTTAATATAAGAACAAAAAATATCCATATATATATGGAATTAGATTCTTCAGTGGAATTTAACAAGAGAAAGACAACCAAATTATTTTCTAATATTAAGCTACATGAGATTGGACAAAAAGGCATAGAGCTAAATGAGAGATCAGCTCTTAACTTGATGATTCATGAACTTGCTGTAATTGATTTTGCTTAAGTGGAATTTCGGAAATTTTGGAACATTTGTGTAAGCAGGATGAAAAAAATAGATAAATAGATGTTCTTGATGAATGTTAAGTTTGATAAGTTACAGAATAGTCAATGGAAAAGTGTTATATAGTACCTTGAAATATATAGAGTACTTTTTCTAGGGAGAAGATGGTTGAATAATTAATAGTTCATATCAATCTTAGAGCCTCAACAAGAATTCAGTGTGATTGTTTTCAGATAATCAGTGTGTGCTTTTTTGCCCCATTTACCTTTTTGCATACTTAAAACTGAACAGTACATCTTGCATAGCTATAAAACTGAACAATACACTGGCACCTACCTCTTTAGATCTGTTTTCTTTATGGTAGAATTAATTTTCTACCTGTAAATTAGGTTTTTGGAATATTGATGTTGACTTGTTTGATGAGACTTAACATACTATATATGAAATTTTGCTTATTAAAATATTTGACTTTCATCAACACTTGCAGAATTGTAGCTTATAATTTGATAATTTTGTTTGTTTTTTGTTGTTGTTTCAGTGGGACGTTCTGGGGCTTTGGGGTGTTTAGTTTCCATCTGGTATGGAGGAGACAGGCACATGTGTATGGGTCAGCAGATACTCTTAATGTATTTCCCAAGACACAGCCAACATTATATTTTAAGTAGAAAAGCCTTCACTGAGATGTGATTTTATAGTATAGGTGATTGGGGAGCATAATTTCTTTTTGTGATTATATTATCTTACTAACAAATGAGATTTTACATGAGGAAATGTAATGTTTTGGTTGAAATAAATAGGTTCACATGGGTGGATTTCAGTGCTCTTCTATGTCATCACTTAAAAGTTTCCAGATTTGAAATCTCCTCAGTGAGCTATCACATGAATTAAAAAGTACCTTTGTTTTTGAGTCATAGCAAATCCTGGTCATTAGGTACTCCTAGATCAGCAGGGGGAATATTCATTGCAACTAATGAGTCTACCCATATGACAGTTTTCAAAAATCTACTTCATTAGGACTGCTTTTTTCCTAAGAGATAATGGCTTACAGCTTATCTGTTCTATTTCTGTGAAAATATTTTGGTTCATTATTGTATTTCTGTATACCATTGTAATACTTCTTTCTTTTATGGACTTTTGGAGGCTGAATACATTTTTCCCTTTTTTTTAAACAATTAAAATTAATTGGCTCATCTATGAAGAGTTTATTGATTATTTCCCAATAATGTTTCAGTATTAGATTTTTTTTTAATGAGTAGCGAATATGACAAAATGGATTTTTTTGTTTGCTTGTCTTTTGGGGGGTGGTATGTTAAAAATAAATGAAGGTAAGTTTCCAGCATCACCTTGATCAACCCTTTTTGGGTATCATATCTCTACCATGTATTTTGATTTTGAATCCTAGAAAGGTCTTCCTAATCCAGCCTCGAACTCATAGTTTTCTTGTTTATTTTAAAGCCAATGTTGAAGGATTGTTCCATATTTCTTGGAATTGTACCCTTGTGTTGCTGTTGATTCAAAATGTCCTGACTGTGGTACAACCCAGTCTTCCTCATTTATGGGTAACTTCTCACCTAGCTGGCTTCTCTTCCTTACTCTTAATATACTTTACTTCTCCTGCCTCTGTGTATTTTCTATCTGTTGTTATTGTTGGTGTTGTTAGCCTTATGCTAAACCTTTTTCCTTTTTTCTACCTATAGTTTCTCCTTAGCTGGTCTCTTCTATTACCAGTGACTTAACTACTATCATTATTTTAATTATTTATTAATTTATATTCTAGACTTTCCTTCCTAGTTTTACACTTGTATATTCAATAGATTTTGCCGTTTCCATCTGTGTCTTAAATAGGTATCAGGCTCATAATATGCCACAAAAGGAGAGTTTTGACCCTTACACCTTTTATTTCTCCTCCCACATTTTATTTACTTTATCGTTGTGGCCTCCTTTCTCCTGATTTCCTTTCTCTCTTTGCCTTCAGCACCTCAACCCAGAGTGGCACAGCGCTTTCTGCCTCAGTTAAATCTTTGGAAAGTTGAAGCATAGCCTATAATACTACTTAGTTTTTTCCTCCTTTAGGGAACTTAAAGTATATTTCATCCTCCATTTGGTGCTTGTTCCTGGTGCCTCCTGGAAATCTCACAGAAAGTTCTATGAATTCTATTCTATTCTTTTAGGATAAATTCATAGATTTCCTAGAAATTATTATACCACTATTTAAGAACTGCTGATTTAGACCAGGGATGATTTATTTCATGGGCTGCTGGGAATGGAATTAACTTCTAGAGGAAAAAAAAATGTAGTACTCAGTGCATTATCAAAGGAGGTTCAATGATTACCCATTTCTATTTTTTATCATTTTGCTGCTATCTTATTTCTAGTTTGGGGGAGAATTCTTTGTTATCTTAGTTTTTATTTGTTCATCTGTTTTATTTTATAGACCTCTGTGCTTTTAAGACTCTTAATTATTTGCTTTTAGCCAGCAACTCCTTGGTTTGACACAAATATTTGTCTATTAAAATACATCTCCTAGTTTCCAGTTCTACGTGCATTTCCAACATTTTGTGATAAATGCTTTACTAAATACCAAATGTTTATCTTTTATTCACCTACTGTGAACACGCAGAACACTTAATTTCCAGGTGGCTGCCACCTGGAAACTGTATAGTGTTTGAAAATTTCAAATGCATTTGCTGTAACCAGCAGACAATGTTTTCAAGACTTCTATTAACCTTCTTGTTTTATAGCTTTCCAAAAAATGCCAATTAAAATTTATTAGTGAATTCTGTATATATTTTGAATATTCCAGATCAGTTAATTCATTTGCACTTTATATCCTCCTGCAACAGAGTAACCTAGTTAACATTGTGTTGGAACTATTATGTCTGGGAGGTTATAGGTCAGGGCTTCATAATTTCTGCAAGACATATAATTGATTTGATGTTTCAAATCAGGTGTGGGATATTAATGTTTTATGAAAATATACTAGTTTACATGTTTCTGCCTATGTAATGAAGTAAATTGACAGACCATAATGGTTGTGGGAGTGTTTATAATAAAATAATTTAGTTGCAGAAGACAACCTTATGGAATATTGATCTTATTGAATTTCAGAGAAGAACCCAAAATTGTTCTGTTGTGGGCTCCTTTATGCACTTTATTTTATATATGAAGTCCTATCCTCTCTCTTTTTAAAGATTAATTTATTTATTTGAAAGGCAGAGTGAGAGAGAGGGAGATAGAGCTTGCATTCATTGGTTCAATCTCCAAATGACTGCAATTGCCAGGGTCACACCAGGACAAAGTCAGGAGCCTGGAACTTCTTCCGGGTCTCCCATGTGGGTGGCAGGGCACAAGCACTTGGATAATCTTCTGCTTTCCCAGGTTTATTGGTAGGGAGCTGAAGCAGAAGTGCAGCAGCTGGAACTCGAAAATTTTGACCTCACACGTGGCAGCATAACCGGTTGCAGCTCAACATGGGCCTTCTCATAATTTAACTGTGTTTGGAGACATGGATTCATTGGTCAAAAATCAGGTTGTTAAGGTGGCCTCAAAAGCATTCTTAATGAGGTCCTTACAAGAAGAGAAATTTTGGACTCTCAGTCAGTAGGCATGTACATATACAGAGAACAGACCACATGGAAACATGAAAGATTGTCATCTGCAAGCCAAGGATAAAGGCCACAAAAGAACTAAACCTTCCAGCATCTTGAATGTGAACTCTGAGATAGG